TGAATGGAAATAAAAATAGAATACACTATTATTTTGGGTGTTATGACCCACTTCAATATCCGCTTTTATTTCCTTATGGTGAAATAGGATGGCACCAAGGTATTCAATGAATTAATACGGATAAAAAGAAAAAAAAAATATTTGCCAAAATGAAGACATTGTTGATGCAGTTAATTTCTTTTCACCTGAGGAGTTGATTGAGAAGGAAACGACAGGTTAATTCATTAAATTATCATTGTCTACATTTGTACCCTTATATGCTTACATGAATCGTTAGAATACTTTATTTTTATTATTTTATGTGAATGATTATTTTTTCTAATTTTGTTTTTAATTTTTTTTAAGTGATGGAAAATAAGAGAACTGGGATGCAAGTTTCATGTAGGGAATACTATTGTTATAAATTATAAATAAGATTATTATCAAATTCAATATTATTTCATTCTGGAAGGCTTTTACAGCAATGTGTTGTTGACATGTACGTGAAAATTGAAACATCTAGATTAGATTATTTTCGTCATAATTAGAACACTCTTAGAGCTGAATTATATCAAGAAATTGTTGATAGTCTTGAAATTGGTGAAAAAGAGGTCATAAAATTGGACGTGTGATAGTTTTACCTCGATCCTTTATTGGTGGACCTAGAGACTTAAGAAAAAGGTATATGGATACTATGTCTTTGGTGCAAAGATTTGGTAAACCCAATATATTTTTAACGATGACTTGCAATCCCAATTGGCCAGAAATTAAAGAACAATTGAAGTATAATGATGAAATTCAAAATAGACCAGATTTAATAGCTCGATTTTTTAAAGCAAAACTTGAAGAATTGAAGGAAGACATTTTGAAAAAAAACAAATATTTTGACAAGTTTCCGCGCATATATATGTTATAGAATTTCAAAAAAGAGGACTTCCACATGTGCATTTTTTATTGATTCTAAAGAGAGATGCTAAGCTTACTTATCCTGATTTGGTTGATAAATTTGTTCGTGCCGAGATTCCAGACGAAAGTAAATATCCTTATCTCCATTCTCTTGTTACTAAACATATGATACGTGGTCCTTGTGGTATTTTAAATCCAAAAAATGTTTGTATGAATAACAAAAACAAATGTAGATTTGACTACCAAAAAAATTTTTGTGCGAACACAATTCTAGATAAAAGATGCTATCCTAAATATAAACGACCTGATAATGGAAAAAAAATAAAGATTAGAAATCATTATTTGGATAATAGGTGGGTAGTTCCATATAATCCATATTTGTTAGCAAAGTATAATTCTCATATTAATGTTAAAGTATGTTCAACAATTCAGGCTGTTAAATATTTGTATAAATATGTTTATAAAGGTTACGATAAATTTGATTTTACTATAAATGAGGATGATCCGAATTTTGTTTATGATGAAATTAAAATGCATAAATCAGCTAGATGAATATCTCCTCCTGAAACTATGTGGAGAATTTTTGCATTTCTCTTGTATGATATGAGTCCATCTGTTATTGCTCTTCAACTACATTTAGAAAACCATCAGTCCATTACTTACAAAGAATTTGATGATTTGGAAGAAGTTGTGAAAAATTATTATTCCCAGAAGTCAATGTTAACAGAATATTTTCGTGCTAACATTACCAGTGCTAGAGCGAAAATAATGCTATATAGAGATTTTTCAGAACATTTTGTGTGGAATTCAAAATGTAAAGTATGGTCTGAAAGGAAGAATAAAACTTTTTCTATAGGACGAATTATTTCTGTAAATGTTATAGAAGGAAAGAGATATTATTTAAGAAAGCTTCTAAATTATGTTAAGGGAGCAAATTTTTATGATGATTTAAAAATAGTTAATGGAGTTCATGCTTCGACATTTCATGAAGCTACCTTATTACATGGTTTGCTTAATGGTGATACTGATTGTGAAATGTTTTTACATGAAGCTTCTCAATATCAAATGCCAATTATGTTGCGTCAACTATTTACTACGATTTTAACGTTGTGTGATCCGCATAACCCCAGAAAATTGTGGAATACATTTAAGCAACATATGATGGAAGATTATGTACAACAAGGTATAACTATCAAAATGGCCGAATTAAAAGCTTTGAATGAGTTAAATGAAATATTACATCTTTCGGGTAAAACTGTGAATAGTTATGGAATTGTCGAGCATCTTTTAAACTTTGAAGAAAACAATTATATTTCAAGAACTATTTCTGATGAATTAGAGATAATTGTTTCTGATGAAGATATTTTATGTAAAACAAAATTAAATTTAGAACAAAAAAAGCGCATGATATGATTTTAGGTTACGTTTTCAACAAAAATAATGGAGTTTATTTTATTGACGGCCCTGGAGGGACAGGAAAAACATTCTTATATCGCTCTTTACTTGCAGCTGTAAGAGCGAAAGGGATTGTTGCTTTAGCTACGGCATCTTCGGGAGTAGTAGCAACTTTACTTCCTAGAGGTAGAACTGCACATTCAAGATTCAAAATCCCTCTTCAGGTAAGTGCTAAATCAACTTGTTCGGTTAGCAAACAACCTTCTTTGGCTGAATTGTTCTGGATAACACAATTAATAATATGGGATGAAGCTCCTATGCTAAATAGATTAGTTATTGAATCATTGGATAGAATGTTACAAGATATTATAGAAAATAAAATGCCATTTGGGGGAAAGTAATTGTTTTGGGAGGTGACTTTCGTCAAGTATTACCTATTGTTCCAAAGGGTCAAAAAGAAGATATAATTAATGCGACATTTATCAATTCATATTTATGGCCAATTGTTTGGAAAATAAAATTGGTTAAAAATATGAGGGTCGAACTGGATTTACCTTTTTCTGAATATCTATTACGAATTGGAAATGGAACTGAGCCTTTACATTCATGCAATATGATTAAAATTCTAAACGAAATGGTTATTGCTCATGATAATGGAGCCGATTCTGTGAAAAAATTGATAGATGTTGTATTTTCAGAGTTAAAAGATTACCTGAAAGATATTGAACGTATGCTTAATAGAGTTATATTAAGCGCAAAGAATGAGAGCATTGATTTTATAAATGCTATATTAATAGAAAAATTTCCTGGTAATTCTATTAAGCCCTTGTTTGAGCCCCATTTTTTCCAAGAAAATGTATTTTTAAATAATGTAATGATGTGAAATGTGTGGTTAAAAAATAAGAAAAACTTTTAGATTTTCGTATAATATTATTTTATTGAAAAATATGTAGTTGAAATGATATCAAAATACTGTTTAAGAATGTATTTTTTCAAAAAAAGAGGCTCAAACAAGGGCTAAATACTATAGTTTCGATGAAATAGTAGATACAGATGCACAAATTTTGATGAAGATTTCTTAAATACATTAACTCCTAATGGTATTCCACAACATGAATTAATTTTGAAGTTAAATTATCCTGTCATTTTATTGAAAAACATAAATCCATCTGAAGGCTTGTGCAACGGAACTAGACTTATTTGTAAAAGATTTGACGCGAACATAATTGATGCTAAAATTGCTGTTGGAGAATATACAGGAAAGATAGTTTTTCTACCCCGCATATCATTTGTACCTCTTGAAAATGATCCGAGTCCAATTCGATTTAAAAGAACTCAATTTCCAGTTCGTCTGTGCTTTGCAATGAGTATAAGTAAAGCGCAGAGACAGACTCTTGATTTCGTTGAATTTTATTTACCCGAGCCTATATTTTCGCATGGCCAACTTTATGTTGCATTATTAAGAGCAGAAACAAGCAAATGTGTTAGAGTTCTTATAAAGCCAACTGAAAAAAATGCATTTGAATTGTACAAAAAACGTCGTATATAAAGAAATTTTAGCTGCAGTTAGTTCTTCTTGAACGGTAGCTTATATTTGTTCTTTTTTCGTAGATAAAGACCGTTATTGAGGAAATAGTGGACTCCAGCAACATTGATAGGCGGATTGAAATTTTTGCTTGAAGGAAACCGTATACAATACTTAGATATAGATCCCATTTCATTTAAATTATTTCTCTACAACTGAATGCAAAAAGAAGTCTATTTAGTTCATTACTTTATTACGATAACATATTCTTCAATTTAATTATGCTATTAATCATACAAATTTTTTGCTTGCAGGCATCAAAGTTCGTAAATGTATATGATAGGATCCTTTTTTGTGTGATTTGTTGTTATGTATGGTAGAGGACATGATGTTCAAGCATGATCTTGATGTTTTTAAACACTAGAATGATTGACCTTATCGGATCCTTATGATATCTATCTTTACTGATTGTATGTCGTACAGATGATGGAAATTCATGCACACTCAGTATGGTCTTTTCAGTCAACTTGAATCTCATGCCAACCACATCATTCTTTGTCCATTCACCTATGTTTACAGCTTACCTCTGCACATGCATGTGTGTATGTTTGTACGCATCTATATAAACATCTGCATTATACTATATATAAAATGTGTAAAAACTTTAGAAAAGCTTATCTTTCGTTTTACGAATTATTTACATGAAAAATGTTTGCTTTATGTATTATAAAAATAAACATTAATAATTATTGTCCTTTATTTCTTTTATCTATTGTACAGGTGAAAACATTAATGATTATTGTCTTTTCTTTCCTGTCAAGCTAATCAGTATGGCCTTTTCAGTCAACCTGAATCCCATACCAACCACCGCACTCTTTGTCCATTCACCTACTTTTATAGCTTACCTCTACACATAAATATCTGCATTATACTATATATAAAACATGTAAAAACTTTAGAAAATGAAGAATTTCTGGCAACAAAAATGCAGATTTCATTGTCCAAGACATTGTTCTTATCAACGAAAGTTATGCATACATAAATATGAATCTTTAAGCACAAATTAATAGTTTTCCAATTCATGCAATTAATCTGAAATTTTAAATCTTCATTTGCAGATTACAAGCTATTATCCTGACTATCTGGGATAGTTTCATCGACCTTCAAAGCGCTGAAATTATTGACCGCCTTACGAAAAAACCAGTGGTTGTTAGGAATAATTTAAAAGTCACATCTTTTAGAGGTAAATGAAATCAAAATCTTATCTTTACATTTAATAAATCATTGTTGTTAACTCCGTATAACTTAACTACATAATTAGATTCTATTTAACAGGAATGTCATTGTCCACAAAAGTGAACAACTCAATCCTCATTAATCCAAAATTCGAAAAACTTGCTGAAATGAAAGAATGGTTAGTGTTCATGCGTTTTTTATAAAATATTACTCCGTAAATCTACATTTCATTGCAGCATTAAAGCATATTCTTTGCTTAAATTTATGACTTCCACTTATTTACAAGGATTGAAAGAAACAAAGAGATGTTGACAGAGATGGTCACTCAAAAGACATGATTTGCCAAATATGTCAAATATTTCACTGCCTCCAAAGAATAAAATTATCAACATCAAGGACATTTTAGAACACTCACCAATGGTAAATTAAATAATAATAATAAAAATAAGACCATTTTTATGTAGTTTCTATTTTGTTTCATTGTATGGTAAATAGATATTTATATCAGCAAAAACGATAACATTCCTTCTACCTATTCCAGCGAAAGCTATTATGGATAAAAAGAAAGATAGAATTGAAGACAGGGGCTCATTCACTTTGGTATATGGCTTGTGATACCTGTAGTTGGATATCTTTCGATGAACTCAATGAAATGTATTTTTGCAACTATTGCAAATACATGCATGCAAGAGCAATTTCAAGGTAACAACCAATACATATAAAATTATATACACCAAATTATTGCAGTACATATAGTTGAATTTCTATTAAATTCAGAATACATGATACTACCTATGTGCATTTTTGCCAGAGCAAGATGTAATGTTCAGCTTTCAGATAACACCGGCACTATTACTACATCTTTATTTGGTGATGTGGCTGAAAATTTCTTGAAACTTCCAGCTGTGAAACTAATGAAAGATAATATAACGGTAAAATTTTCTGTATAAATTGTTACATTTACCAGCATTTTCCATTTACGTACATATGTACATTAAATCTTATATGTTCAAACACTTTATCAATGCTCAAGAGTCCAGCTATGCAATTGAAGACCATTTTATTTACTTGAAATTTGAAAACCCAGATCCAAAAACCAATCAACCAAGGTTTGATGTAATCCATGTTCTTAATAACAACTTTGCACATGCACAAAGATCTGCATCATTGTTTCCGTATTAGGCTAAGGAAAAAAATGTCTCATATTAAACCAATGTACCTAATGCACGAAGGAGCCTGGTGTTTGAGAAGGAAAACATCAAACAACTGGAAAAGCAAAAAATGGTAACATCTAGCGATCCTAATGTTCAAAACAACGATGCAAATCCTCTCAGCAACAGTGCCGATCCAAAGAAAAATTGACTTTACCATACCTTTAACAGTTCAAGTGCAACTAAAGTTAGTTCCATTTTGTTATTTTGAAGTCCTTTTGTTTTTTGCTAGAAGATTTTTGTATATGGTATCATATTACACTGCTGGAACATGTCATAAAGTTCAGCTTAGTTTTTGGAAACTTCATTCTTATTAATGAACTGGGATAGGTATGCTAAATGTTATATAAATAAAGTCGACGTATCTATGAAATCTAATTATTCACATCTTTTCGTAACTATTTATGCATATAGTTTTCTTCTTTCCCGTAAATCGTGTCCTTTATGTATCATCTTTCATCAACCACGGACCCTAGAAAAGAACGAAAATGTTGTTCATTCAAATGTACATTTGACTTCATGATTTGTATTATTTTTTAAAGTTCTTTATGTACATTTTCTTTGTTATTTCCCAAGAATCGTATTCTCCTTGTATCGTTTTTTATTTATTTGTTATAGCTTGTATTAGCAAGCACAGAAGAAACATATAACCCAATAAGTAAGCCTTGACAATTCTACATTGCCTTGCAAGTTGATGTAGAATTTTTTTGGGGGAACTGAATAATCTCTACTCTGACCATGCCAAATTTTTGAATCCTTATCCTTACATTCTTCATCAATGATGGCCATCATGGTAATGAGTTCACGTTGTAAACATTATAAATTATGTATCTCATTAAGTAAGTAGTCATAATAAATATAAACAAATTCTGCACATTAAAAAAGAAAAAAAATAACCAAATCTCTTACAGAATTATAATAGTCATTGTGCAACGCACGATCCTCCACTAGTTTAAGTATAATAAGATAAACACTTGACATTTAGAAATTGATTTCAAGTAACATGTTTGAATATATGCATCACTTAAGCTCTTGCATTTCACATACAATCTTCAGATTTAATTTGAACACTTTGTTCAAAACATTAATTCATGATATTTATGAATAATCATAGATAAAGTACATATAGATATCCGAATTTTTTAAGATCCTTTAATTTATATAAATTATTTCCCAACGCGAAATTAACATCAGGATTAATTCCCCAAATTTTTTTTTATTTTTAACAATCGTTGGTGTATTAAGGCTTGTTTGGACTTCGATAAAATTTGGGAAAATTTCATGGAAGGTTGCACCATTAGTATGATGGTTACAATTTTTCCATTTCTGTAATGGCTATAATGTCTTCTAATTTAACCAGACAAAATTCTATTTATTGACTATCAAAGAGAAATTCATATGTTCCTCTGAATCTATTGACAAAATTAAATTTCATATTCAACTTTAAACTAATTACCAAATTAAGGAACACATTTCTTAAGCTATGCAATCAATTTGGAAATGCCAAATACGGGCAAAGATTGATTCACTTGCCACCCTTCAACTTACATAGAAAGCACGAATGAACTTCGAAAAGTCCAATATTATTCAGAAGAAATTCACCAAATCGAAACTGGGAGCTAGGCTGAACATTCAGTTTCCCCATATATGGCGAGAAGACAATACAACCATTTAGCTAATACGGCGTACAATGAGCAAAAGTTCAAGCTTTTGCAATAGCAAGAGTTAACAGCTGAGATTAATGGATTGCCTAGAATAGATTTGGTTTTCCAAAAATAAGGATGTAAGCGGCCTTAGTTTGTATAGACTAGGTTACTTTCCTTTTTTGTTTTATTTCCATGAAAGCAAGATTCATTGAAGTCACCCCTCAGTTGCATAATTTTAGCCAATCAATATATTAGGTTAGGGGGCAAAGACAAACACCTCGTTTTGTTAAGGAACGAAGCCTAAAAACCGTAAGCTAATCCATAATGGACTTCATTAAAAGAAAACAAAAGTATCGTGAAACAGTTCATTGGAAATAGGCTAAGATCCATCGTATAGCAATTATACATTTGAATAATGTTATTTAGTACCACTGGTGTTAGAACACTAATTTATGTGGCATTATGTGATATGTTCAGTTATAACTAAAATTATGTGATTCATTTAATTGAACATATAATTTAACGTCGCTAACGACGTCACACGAATTGATATTAAATACCAGTGATATTAAATAACATTACCCTATACATTTATGCCGAGATCACAAAAACTCATTGGGAAAGATCAAAATTGTCTGACGCAAAAATGATTTAAGACCATTTGACCATTTATCTCATGTCATTCAATGGGAAATTAAAGCATCTGAGCAAACTATATTTCCAAGCATAGAAGATCAAAATGAATATTAGCAGAAAACCTATCACAGAACATATGGTAAAAATCAACCAAGTCTAATGATGTCAGTTTCCATCTTACCTAGAAATTATGAAAAATTCTTCAACTATAATACTTAAAATTTCTGAACAGATAAATGTGCAACATTTTACTAGCCAATTTATACTGACATAAAATTCAACAATTTTGCACAAACATAACTTTAAGCATCTCCCAAAAGAATCTAATAATCAAATAACAATATATTCTATCTCATTTTGCCATTAACCTCAAAAAATGAGCTAACAGAATATTGACCATCTCTCCTCCATTAAGCTATGACCTACACAATGGAACAGCCCATTGGGAGGCAAAGGCCGTCATTCAAAGAAAATATTCGATGGTCGTTTGTATCCAACGGTCAAGTTAACGGTCGGGCAAAAGAAATAAGAGTGCAAGAAACGGGAGAAGGAGTTTTGCTAGGGTTAGAATATCATACCTTATTATGAAATGAACTCACGTATTATATAAAGAAATAAATGAGCCAAGTGGGTATGATGGGATGAGCTCTACGTCCAATATGATGTTGCTTGATTAAATAGGCCAATTTAATCACAAGATACTATTATTTAATTAAACAAGCCAAATCAATTGAATAATCTATGTCATGTCAGCATATATGGGACCCATCCTTCACTCGCATGCCACGTAATTTATAGGTGTAATCGTTACTATCTAAGCTTCATATTTTGCGGCAATTGTTTTTCCCCACTCGTAAATTTTCTACCATCGCTAAAACATGGGAGTTTGTCTTTCCTTATTAACATGACTTTAGATTGTGGGAGAAATGAGTGATTTGTACGTAGATATTTGACCAATTAAAATAATAATTAAAATGACATAAACATTATAGAAGGATGAGAGTTAGAAAGTAAGCCTTAGAGAGTCACGTTAAGGACGCTATCTTAAAATCGTGTTGCCTCCTCTTCATACTGGTAATTTCGATATATACTACTCAAATGGAAAACTCTAAAAAAAATTCTAACTAAAAGAAACACATTTATAAAATTAACCAAGTATACCAGAAATAACTTTTGAATCTCAAAAATTCATTTTGTATTCTCAGAATCTATGCCAAACATGCATTTTATTATGGTTGAATACGATACTCAGTAGCAATCTTGTTGTTTGTCCTCTGTTGTCTTTTCTAAAAATACCAACAACATTCAAAATGTGCTTATACTAACATGTGGCTCTTTTCACGAGACATATAACATATATAATTCTATTCATATGAAATAGGGAACCTTGCTTTCTGAAAAAGAAAAAAAGAAATTCCATGACACTAGTTAAAGAGAGTTATGGTAAAGAAACCTTAAACCATCATAATGGTTCATTATTGGGCATAAATAGGGATGGCAATTCGAACCGTCAAAATCGAAAATCGCGGTTAACCGAACCAAATGGGGCGAAAAAAATCGAACTGATGGTACAATTGAGCGGATACGGTGTTTGATTTTAATGAACCGGTTCAGGACGGGACGGGTATGGTATTTACGCCATCGCCCCGAACCGAATCGATTAACCATTAGAAAAAATAATACATTAATAATAATTGGGCTTTTCATAATTTTTTGATTTCTTTCTAAGTTAACTAAATTTCTTTGGCCCAAAATTTTCTGGCCTATTAACGAATCAAATTTAAACCAAAGTACCCAACCCTGAACTCTAACAGTCTAACACAAAGGCACAAACATTTTATTGGAAAATTGGATTCTCAACTCCTGCCTTCTGAGTCTCCCGAGTGCCGACTGTCGTCTCTTCCGCCTCCGCTCGTTTGCATTATTTTCTTCTTCTTCGACCTTCAGGCTTCTGCCACTGGTGAGTTTCTCATCTTCTTTTTTGATAATTTGTATTTGTCTATTTGAATTTGTTGTGAATTTCGCACGAGATTTGGCCAAAGTATATCCAGAATTTTCAGTTTTTTACAATTGGTGGCTGCTTTAGAGATAAATGACTTTAATTTCTCTCTTTTTTGATGGCTTTTGACCTAAACAACACATAAACAAGAAATTGAATTCTTTAATTACAGAAACCAAAGTTTGGTGACGAGGATGTTGACGAAGTGGTACATTTTTTTTAAATCTTCAGTTAAGAACATTATGGATTATTAATTTATTACTCTACTTACATTTCTTATATACTATATAGGAATCAACTTTGAGTTTTGACGTTTGCTAATAAGAGTTGTGGGGAAGAATGAAGATTGAATATGAATTGAGGTTGGAGCTTTTTGAGTTATTGAATATTGTTTGTTAAATTTTGATTTTGTATTTGAAAATTGGGATATTTTTTTGCATTTTCATTTGAGATGTTGTTTGCTACATTGACTTAGTATCGTGTTTTTGTTTTCATTGATTTTTTTCATACATTTTCCTTTTTATGCGACAGATGGACCAATTAAAAATAATTTATTTTCGTAGTTATTATCGACCCGAACCGAGATACGAACCGAACCGACTTTCGTGGTTATGGTGCGGTTATGATATGACAAAAAAATTGGTGGTTCGGTGATGATTTTGGCCGAACTGACCCCGAACCGAACCGTTGCCATCTCTAGGCATAATGTGTAAATTTTGGGACTCTTTTTTAAATTCCTAATTTAGAGGTGAAAATTGTCAAATTAATAAAGTTTGAAGGTGCAATAAGTAAACAGTTCAAAATTATGCTTCTGGTGATTAACGATAGGTCCCACAACAAACCGCAAAATATAGGATTTTTTATTCTTTCAAAAAAAATTTTGGTAAAAGACGATTGAAATCCCTGCAAGATCTCCGTTTCCATGGCCTCCGCCGCCGAACGCCGTCGCCGCCATCACCTCTCATGACCACCATCTCCCTTCTCAAAAATTCACCTTCCTCTTCTCCTCCCCGAGTTTTCCCTCTCAGTTCCTTTCTCATTCGAGTCAACTTGGTTTGAATAGCCTCCCTCAGCCCAATCAGGAACACCCCAACCAACCTCCTCCGCACCGTGCACG